AATTTACGATATATAGATAAATATCATTCGGATAAAGTTTCGGTTTCTGGCAAATTCATTGCTGGAAGATACTTCAGATAAATGGCGTCGAGAGGAGACTGCATTATCCTAGGTAAACTGCGTTCGTTCGATTCTTTCGGCTGTAGAACAAACTCCCGTTGGAAAATCCAATTCGACGAGGCAAACGAAGTTTGTTTGGAAGAAAAGTGTGTCCGTCGCCGGATGGAAGATGCGCCAGGTGAGGGGAAAGATTTTCCATAAATTCACACGTCCCTGTTTCATTCGTCTTCAACTACTGCAAACTGTCGGCGAAGTTCACGACAAAAGTGAGAAATAGATATCTCCCTGGTTACGATTATGGCACGCGATGACTTCCGTTTTTCCAACTTTCAAAGTTGGACGACATGTTTCTACACTTCTTTTCGAGTATCGAATCGGCAACCCGATTTCCTTCGCCTCGGCATTTGTTTTTCGACGATTTTGAATTACGTGAACTGTTTTCGCGAAACGCTATAATATCTGAGGGATATTGCAGACGTTTTCAACAAGGAAATTTAACATTATAAACCGTGTGTATTGAATCGAACTTTCGTCAGACGAATCCTGCTTGTTAAATTTAAAAGAGTGTAAAACACCGGATGTTTTCGTTATAAATTTCAGATCTATCCGTGGCCGATTCCGCATTCCTCGCGTCGCTTTAGCAATTATTTTTCAGAAGTATTGCTCGAAGTCGATAGCGTCTTCCTGTTTTCGATATTCGTCCCATTTTGAAATGATATTGAAATGATCCCAACCATCCGGCAGAACATTCTTTTTTAAATTAAAATTTTGTAGGTATGATGATGGATAAATTATAAATTCACCGTACTACAAATAACTATACACTTTGTTAATATTAATATTTTTAATAACTATTATTTAACAATATTTAATATAACAATAAAATTAATTAATTAATTATTTATACATTTTAGACTTTAGAATGTACGATGTACAATATTCAATATTCTATCTCTCTGGATTATCTATTTTACAACTCTTATTTATACCTTCGTTAATTTGTTA